CCCTATTCTGAATGGGATTTCAATGATGATATTTGCGACAGCGATATTCAAAATTATAATGACGAATGGGAAGTGCGCAACTGTCGATTATCGGGTCTGGTTGATCTGAAACTAAGTAAAACGTATGTGCGTGATAAAGTCGTGGAATTCCTAAATGATCTGATTTCTCTTGGAGTCGCTGGTTTCCGTGTAGATGCGTGTAAACACATGTATCCAGAGGATTTAGAAGTCATTTATGGGCAAATGAACAACCTCGTCACACCAACTTTTCCTTCCGGCAGTCGACCGTTTATTGTTCAAGAGGTGATAGATTACGGCGGTGAAGCAATTTCAGCAACAGAATACACTCACTTAGGTCGTGTGACTGAATTCAAATATGGTCGAGAGCTGTCAAACTGTTTCCGAGGTGGTAATGATCTAAAATATTTATACAACTGGGGAGAAGCCTGGGGACTTTTACCAAGAGGTGATGCACTGTCTTTCATCGATAATCATGACACACAACGCAACCATGGAGGAGGAGGTAATCCACTAACATATAAGGAACCCCGTGAATACAAGATGGCGGTTTCGTTCATGTTAGCTCATGATTATGGTGTACCCAGAATAATGAGTAGTTACTACTTTACTGACGGTGAGGCAGGACCGCCTTCACATCCAGATGGGTCCACAAAAGATGTGACATGTTTTGATGAATGGGTATGTGAACACCGATGGAGACAGATCACTGGTTCTTCGTGGTTCCGCAAGGTTACCCATGGTACTGGTGTTGACAATTGGTGGGACAATAATAGTAACCAGATCGCCTTTTCTCGTGGTAACCTGGGATGGTATGCTGTGAACAACGATGCATATGCCATGGACGCAACTATATACACTGGATTACCTGCTGGTACATATTGTAACCTGTATGTCTCATCTTACGATAAAGACACCAAAGCCTGCGTCGATAAAGAAAATGTTGGTACACCGTCTACTGTTACTGTGAAAAGTAATGGCGATGCCTCGGTTTATATAAGCAATAACAGCAATCCTGTCATTGTAATACACGTTGATGCCACTGTATAATGACCTGTAACATTATGTTATGTTAATTGAGAGAAAATATCTCGTAATCATTTATGAATATAAATAGGTTATGTATGGTATCATGATGGTAATAAATAAAGTCCAAACAGATCACTCGAATTATGTTTTTTATCCATCGGGAAACCAGAAGCCGATCCGTTTATATTTTCAAAGGTCTATCCCAGAGTTTTTGTTTTTGCTTGATGTGGGTATTCATTCAGGAGATACGGTATAGTTGTAGTTATAACACACGCCATTTATTGTGAAGGTTTCAATTGGTAAATACAGTACAATGTGTTGACATATGTTGGTTGCTATGGTCAGCCTTACGGCTACGCCTGGACTTACATGTTGTTTGATATATATTGTACTTCTATTGGCCAAGAAGACCCGACGATCCATTCTATCGGAAATGACGCAATAATTATTCAAAACGACCTCCAGTATAATAGAATGCGTCATTTTCCAAGTTATTTTTTATTTTTTACTTTTTTGGAGGGCGTCCAAATCGCGTCTTAAATCGTACTTGCTCGATTTTGGGGAAAATATGCGTGAATAAATTATTTTTTTTAATAAGGAGACGTTATACGCGATTTATCCACATGGACTAATGAGGGGTATAAATATTATTGAACAGTAGATGGCGCTCTCTCTCGCCATTCACTATACACGGTGTTAGCACACTAATACTGTTGTACTTCATGACATAATAAACTAAATTATTGTAACAGAAGTTACAAAAAGTATAAAAATGTAGATAATATTGAAATAATGATGGCATTCAACAATTTTTCAAATAAAGAAAACGTTACAGACCCTCCTTTATACCAAATTATGTCTTTGAAACTAAATTTTCAAGGTATGGCTGAATTGTTGATAATCTACATTTAATTAAGCTGAAAATGTTAAATCTTTTCGGCATCAAGTGAATATGTTGTGTGATGGTGATATACTTGACCTTGATATTAATGTCACATATGATCACAGGGAGCCCAGGAACTATAATCAACTGTAATACGCAGTCTCTATGAGCGGGGGGGGGGGAGGTATCGGCTGATGTTTAGTGTAAGAAAATACGACAGGAATGAGCTCCAGTCAGCTCGCATTTTTTAAACTCGAAAAAAACGAAAAAAATAAAAAATAAAATCTAAAAAA